CAGTGGGGCAGGAATATCACGGCATCCACATGCCAGAAACACAGGCAGGGGACACCTCAGCTCTCAGGAGCCTCAGCTCCCCACAGAGCCCCACAGCACCACACCAGCACCCCCCAGGAGTGGGGCTCAGCAGCATCTCCAACCCATGGGACAACAATCCCCCCAGGAGCAAGCAGTGGGAATCCACTCCCAGGGCAACCAACACCCTGGGAGTGGTGGGAATCAATCTGTGGGGCGACCATCCCCCTGAGAGCAGCGGGAATCAACCCACGGAGCAACCATCCCCTGGGAGCGGGGCTGTGCTGTGACGCCATGCAGGCCAAGAGCATCCCTGTGGCCCCCCAACAGCCGGGGTGAGGTGCCAGGGCACCCACCAGCCCATCCCTACAAATCACAGCCCCTTCCCTTTGTGGCTCCCTCCCTTTCCACCTCCTCCCACCACAGGCCTGCTGGACGTCCCGGTGTGCACCTGGTTGGTCGTGCACCACGATCCATGGCAGGATGGGAAAACCCTCTGGGGTTTATCCAAGCCCACAGAGCGGTCAGATACGGAGTTGAGCACCTGCTCTCCACCCCCAATCCAGGACTGTCCCTTCCCAGCCCCACCTGACTCACCCTGCCCCTCACCTTGGCCACAAACTGCTTGTCCTTCTGATCCAGGTTTGCTGTGGGGGCCACGTAGTCCCTCCAGATCCTCAGTTTGCGCTCTTTGGCGAACCTGCAGGGGAGGGGACAGTGGGACATCGGGGTCTGGTGGGGATGGACATGCCGGAGGTGACATCCCCAGCAAAGCCCTGGCTGGGACAGCGGGGCTGAAGAGGACTTGCAAGGGGAGGTCACATCAATCCCACCTGGGAGAGCACTGGATGGCCCCCACGAGGCTGGGAAGGCCCCCCTGGGAGCAGGTGGGAGTCGCCCACGCCAGCCCCCCAGCCCACACCCACCTTTCGGCCGCGCGCAGCTTGTCGGCCCCACGGGTGTACACGGCGATGGACCAGTCCACACACCGGGCAAAGCCCTCCTTCAGCAGCAGCTCTGTGATGTTCCCGTTCTGGGGGGAAGGGGAGGAGGCTCAGGGTCAGAACTGAGAACGGGGTATTGGACACCCACCCCCGTCCCTGCCCCGCTGCGAGAGGGGAGCTCGCCCGCCCCGTGCAGCCCCTTCCACATCACTGGTCCCCAAAGCCCCCTGCGAGGTCTGGGCACAGCTCCCAGTGCTAGTGGAGAACACCCCAGCGACACCCACAGGGCTCAGCTCTCCTCAGATGGAACAGGATCTCCCACATCCACCAGGAAGAGCCCACGACCCCCAGTTCCCCCACGGGAAGCACCAGGATCTTGCCCTTTAGAGTCACCAGCAGCGATGCCTGACAGCCCCCAGGACCCTGCCCTCCCCCCAGCCCCACTTGCCGGGTGCAGGATGGTGCCCAGGATGTTCTGGTTGTGGCAGCTCTCCAGGACAATCTGCACGTCCCTCTGCAGCAGCCGGGACTCCGTGAAGAACTTGGCTTCGGCCGCAAACGGCTCCGGGACCTCGGGAGCGTCGGCCTCGCGCTTGAACGTGGGGCACTGCGGCACAGGGGGACAGTCAGGGCACGGGATGGCCACTAAAACCTCGGGAAGGGGGTGGGAAACCTCCCTGGGGAGGGGACTGCACTCTGCCCCGTGCTCAGGGTGTAGTTTGGGGTCTGTGTGTCCCGATGCTTCAAGCTGTGTTCCACTGACCCAGCCCTGCAACCGCCCCAGCAAACACTGCCGGCAGCAAACTGGGACACGGGGACCAACTCCAGCTCTGGGATGCCAGGATAAGGATGTGGAGGTGCTGGGGAGAGTCCAGAGGAGGTCACAGAGATGCTCCAAGTGTTGGAGCCCCTCTGCTCTGGAGCCAGGCTGGGACAGCTGGGGGGGTTCACCTGAAGAAGGTTTCAGGGAGACCTGAGAGCCCCTGTCAGCACCTAAAGTAGCTCCAGGAGAGCTGGAGAGGGACTGGGGACAAGGCCTGGAGGGACAGGACACAGGGAATGGCTTCCCAGTGCCAGAGGGCAGGGACAGATGGGAGATTGGGAAGGAATTTCTGGCTGAGAGGGTGGGCAGGCCCTGGCCCAGGTTGTCCAGAGAAGCTGTGGCTGCCCCTGGAAGCGTCCAAGGCCAGGTTGGACGGGGCTTGGAGCAGGTCCAGTGGAAGATGTCCTGCCCATGGTAGAGGGTAGTAGTGGATGGGCTTTCAGGTCTCTTCCCACACAAACCACTCCATGATTCCACGAACTTCCAGCATAATTATGAGCAGGGTGCCCAAGAGCCCAGAGCTCGGGCTCTGCCCAGCCTGACAGCTAGTACCCACCCAACCCAAACTGTGCCCATCCCCACAGTGACACCCAGGGTTGCACCCAGCCTAGAACTGCATGTACAGCAGGCGACAAGCACGTCCCTCCATCCCTCCCTCCCTCCCTCCCTGCTCCAGCCCCGTGAGCTGGGCAGCCACAGGGATCGGAGCAGCCCCTTCACTCCTGCCAGGACATGGAATGGAACGCTGGTGACAACTGCAGAGAGAATGTGCAGCAGGGAGGGCAGCAGGGCCCAGGGCTCACCTTGATGCCCGAGAGCATGACGGTGACCAGGTAGTAGTCGGGCAGCAGCAGGGCCCTCACCACGCTGCCGTCCCGCACGTGCTCGATGATGGCTGCGGAGCAAGGCACGCATCAGTCCCCCTGTGCCGGGCCCCGGGAGCCCAGGGGTGCCACAACAGCACCAGGCACAGGCAGCCAGCCCCTGACACCACAGAGGGGGGAGGACACGGTGACTCCGTGCCCTCCTCTCCGATGCCACCTTACCATTGACCGGCTTCTGGTGCAGGGAGTCCACGAAGTGCCGGGGGTTCTCGATGGTGTACTTGAGGTCCCGCACGGTGTGGGACCCCGTGCCCTCGCTCCACATCCCCTTCTTGGCGCTCTTGGCCTGCTCCTCCAGCTCTGCCAGCCGGCTCTGCTCGGGGCTGAGGGCACAGGGACGTGGGGTGAGGCTCCCGCGGGGTTTATCCCGGGAACATCCATCCCTGCCCGGGTGAGCGACACCCCGGGAACCGCAGCGGTGTCCTCCGGCACCATCCGTGTGGGAACAGGGGCTGGGAGCCCCATCTCCCACACACACTGGGGAGACTGAGCCCGTGGGAACCTTCCAGAGGCTGCCTTGGTGCGCCACGATGGAAAAACAGCAGCATTCCCGGCCCCCAGCAGGGCAGAGCAGGCTCAGGAGAGGAAGGATGGCAAACCCAGGCACGTGTTGTGCCAGCCCACAAACCAGCCCAGTCCTGCACACACAGGTGGCCACTGAAGGGCCACCAAAGTGACAACTATCCCCTCCCAGTGTTGACATCAGCCCTGCCACAACAAATTCAGGGATATTTAACAGGTTGCCCAGAGAAGCTGTGGCAGCCCCTGGATCCATGGAAGTGTCCAAGGGCAGGTTGGATGGGGCTTGGAGCAACCTGGGCCAGTGGAAGGTGTCCCTGCCCATGGCAGGGTGTGGCACTGGATGGGCTTTAAGGTTCCTTCAACCCAAACCATCCTGGGATTCCCTGATCCTCCAAATGAGGCTGGCCCTGCCCTGGAACTGAGCCACACCTCTGGAATGGGATCCCAGGTGCAGGACAAGGGGCAGGAATGTCACCACCACCTCTCTAGCTGGAATTAAAGCACCTCAACTCCACACCAAGTGTGACTGCACAGAGACCAAGAGCTCCAGAAGATTCCCTGCTCCGCAGCCCAGGGACACAGCTCTGGCACTTTGGCATCCCAGGAAAGGAGCCAGACGGGCCCTCCTGCCCAGCCCCTCCACATCCCAACCCTGATGGGACACTGGGAATGCCTGTGGAACCACAGGGAGCTGGGCAGCAGGGCCTGGTGCCAGGCCAAAGCCAAGGAGAACTTCGGGATGGGAGCCCCGTGCGTACTTGTTGGCCCGGATCCCTTCCCGACGGGAGGCAAGTCCTTCGGCCACCAGGGACTCGGCGATGTTCTCACCACTCGTGTCTGTGGAGAGAGCAGAGCAGTCAGGGAGAGGAGCCACTGGCACACAGGGTCAGCCCAGAGGGACGTGGACCTCAGTCCTGGCAAGCATTCCCAGGGCGATTCCAGGTAGCAAGCGCTGGAGCAATCCCCAGCTGGAGCCTCACGCAGATGCCACACAGCTGCCAGGGAAACTGTCACAGCATCCCCACATTTATAGTATTTAAACCCTGACAAATTTCATCAGGAAGCGTTTTCTGCCTCATTTCTCCCCTCCTCGCCTGCCAGGCTGGGCTGGAACAGGGATGGGGAGGCCCTGGCGCGGCAGCCGGAGAGGCTGCGCTGGGCTGAGGAAGCACCAACAGCAAAACCTCTTCCCCAGCTTTTTTTTGGTCCCAGGCTGTGTCTCCAGGGCCTGCCCAGGCTGAAGGTCAGCCCTGGGGGGTCTCAATCCTGGCTGGTCTCAATCCTGGAGGTCTTTTCCAACCTAAATGATTGTGATTCCAATCCCTGCCTCTCCAGGAGGGGATCCCCATCCCAGAGGGCTTCCCAGACCCCCAGCAAGCTGGAAGTTCAGGAATGCATCACAGAATGTCCCGAGCTGGAAAGGACCCACCAGGATCATGAGTCCAACTCCTGGCCCTGCACGGGACACCCCAGAATCCCACCATGTCCCTGAGAGCCTTGTCCAAGCATTCCTTGAGCACGGAGGTAACTTTGATATCCACGCATTCGTGGTCTCAGGGGAGGGTCCCACTCCCCTTTCCTGCAGCCTGGGGACCACGGGGGTCTCGTGTTCCTGTGCTGCAGTGGGACCCCCAAGGGGACACAGGAGATGCTGCCTGGAGTGTGCTGGATGTAGCAGGCAATGGGAATTCAGCTCTGGTGCTGGTGGAAAGGGGGTCACACCTTGGCCACATCCAACTGAGCCCCAACTGGGAGGATCAGCTGGGTCCTGGTAAGCATCCGCTCATCTCAGGAACCCACCCATGCCGAGATCTCATTCCCCTTCTTCAATCCCGAGGGAATTCTGAGAGGAACAGAGCCGGCAGCACGATGTGGTCACCTCCCAGCCCCTCTCCCACCAGCCTGGGCGATGGCTGAGGGGCAACCACAGGGAGCAGGAGCCCCAAAACCCATCCAAGCATTCTCAAGGGAGCTGCTTCCTCTTGGGAATCTCAGCCACAGACAAGCAAGGGATTTAGAACAACAAAAAGGACGGAAGAGGGAAACCTGTGGGAATTCACCCGATGCCCACGTCCATGAGCCTGGAGCTCTGGAGAGCACGGCTGTGCTCCGGCTCTGCACCAGGACCAGCACCGGGCATCGCTCCCCTCCCAGAGCTGGGGTCCGTGGAAAAGAGGGAATGCATCCTTCCGCTGCCAACAGTGCACCCCAACACCTCCACTAACCCACTCTGTTCCCCCTCAAAGAAATCACAGGTGGTTTTCCAGCTGGATTCATGCTCAAGACCCCCCTCAGCCGAGCTCCAGGAAAGCTCCTGGGGCAGAGGGAGCAGGGCTGGACGTCGCTCCCCTCCCAAAGCTGAGTGTCCACGGAAAAGTGACGGAAAAGTGGGAACGCGTCCTTCTGCTGGCAGCGCATCCCAACTCACGCTCTGCCTGTGC